CCCTCCCTGTGTCACTAGTCACCATCTCCCTCCCTCTGTCACTAGTCACACCCTCCCTCACAGGTAACCCCCCCGTCACTAGTCACCTCTCCCTCACTCTGTCACTAGTCACCCATTCCCTCCTTCACTCTGTCACTAATCACTCCCTCACTCTGTCACTAGTCACCCTCTCCCTCACTCTGTCACTAGTCACACCCTCCCTCACTCTGTCACTAGAGTGAGGGAATGACTGGTGACAGAGTGAGGGAAGGGGTGACTAGTGGCAGAGTGAGGGAAGGAAAGGATGACTGGTGACAGAGTGAGCGGATGACTGGTGACAGAGTGAGTTAGGGGGATGACTAGTGACAGAGTGAGTTAGGGGGTGACTAGTGACAGAGTAAGGGACAGAGGGGGTGACTAGTGACAGAAGGAGGGAGGGAGTAGTGACAGAAGGAGGGAGGTGGTGACTGGTGACAGTCACCACCTCCCTCACTCTGTCACTAATAACCCTTTCCTCACTCTGCCACTAGTCACCCCTTCCCTCACTCCGTCACTAGTGACAGAGTGAGGGAGGGGATGACTAGTGACAGAGTGAGGGAGGGAAGTGGTGACTAGTGACAGAGGGAAGGGTGACTAGGGACAGAGTGAGGGAGGTTGTGACTAGTGACAGTCACCACCTCCCTCACTGTCACTAGTCACCCCCTCCCTCACTCTGTCACCAGTCATCCCCTCACTCTGTCACTAGTCACCCCTTCCTTCCCTCACTCTGCCACTAGTCACCCCTTCCCTCACTCTATCACCTGTCACCCCCTCACTCTGTCACCTGTCACCCCCTCACTCTGTCACCTGTCACCCCCTCACTCTAGTGACAGAGTGAGGGGGGGTGTGACTAGTGTCAGAGAGAGGGAGGGGGTGACTAGTCACAGAGTGAGGGAGGTGATGATTAGTGACAGAGGGAGGGATGGGGTGACTAGTGACAGTCACCCCCTCCTTCACTCTGTCACTGTGTCACCCCCTTCCTCACTCTGCCACTAGTCACCCCTTCCTTCCCTCACTCTGCCACTAGTCACCCCTTCCCTCACTCTGTGACCTGTCACCCCCTCACTCTGTGACCTGTCACCCCCTCACTCTAGTGACTGAGTGAGGGAGGGGGTGATTAGTGTCATAGAGAGGGAGGGGGTGACTAGTGACAGAGTGAGGGAGGGAAGGGGTGACTAGTGACAGAGTGAGGGAGGTGATGATTAGTGACAGAGGGAGGGATGGGGTGACTAGTGACAGTCACCCCCTCCTTCACTCTGTCACTGTGTCACCCCCTCCCTCACTCTGTCACCGTGTCACCCCCTTCCTCACTGTCACTAGTCACCCCTTCCTTCCCTCACTCTGCCACTAGTCACCCCTTCCCTCACTCTGTCACCTGTCACCCCTTCACTCTAGTGACACAGAGAGGGTGGGGGTGACTAGTGACAGAGGGAGGAGTGACTAGGGACAAAGTGAGGGAGGTGGTGACTAGTGACAGTCACCACCTCCCTCACTTTGTCACTAGTCACCACCTCCCTCACTCTGTCACCAGTCATCCCCTCACTCTGCCACTAGTCACCCCTTCCCTCTAGTGACAGAGTGAGGGACGGTGTGACTAGTGACAGAGAGAGGGAGGGGGTGACTAGTGACAGAGTGAGGGAGGTTGTGATTAGTGACAGAGGGAAGGATGAGGTGACTAGTGACAGTCACCACCTCCTTCACTCTGTCACTAGTCACCCCCTTCCTCACTCTGTCATTGTGTCACCCCCTTTCTCACTCTTTCACTAGTCATCCCCTTCCTTACTGTCACTAGTCACCCCCTGCCTCTATCTGTCACTAGTCCCACCCTCCCTCACTCTGTCACTAGAGTGAGGGCGTGACAGGTGACAGAGGGATGGGATGACTGGTGACCGAGTGAGGGAGGGGGTGACTAGTGACAGAGTAAGAGATGGAGGGGGTGACTAGTGACAGAGTGAGGGAGGTGGTGACTAGTGACAGAGTGAGGGAGGTGGTGACTAGTGACAGTCACCACCTCTCTCACTCTGTCACTAGTCACCCGTTTATTCCCTCACTCTGCCACTAGTCACCCCCTCACTCTAGTGACAGAGTGAGGAAGGGGGTGACTAGTGACAGAGTGAGAAAGGGGGTGACTAGTGACAGAGGGAGGGGTGACTAGGGACAGAGTGAGGGAGGTGGTGACTAGTGACAGTCACCACCTCCCTCACTCTGTCACTGTGTCACCCCCTCCATCTGTCACTGGTCATCCACTCCCTCCCTCCCTCCCTCTGTCACTGGTCACCCACTCCCTCCCTCACTTTGTCACCAGTCATCCACTCACTCTGTCACTAGTAACCCCTTCCTTCCCTCACTCTGCCACTAGTCACCCCCTCACTCTAGTGACAGAGAGAGGGAGGGAGTGACTAGTGACAGAGTGAGGGAGGGAGTGACTAGTGACAGAGGGAGGGAGGGAGTGACTAGTGACAGAGGGAGGGATGGGGTGACTAGTGACAGTCACCACCTCCTTCACTCTGTCACTGTGTCACCCCCTTCCTCACTCTGTCACTGTGTCACCTCTTCCTCACTCTGTCACTAGTCACCCACTCCCTCCCTCACTCTGTCACTAGTCACCCCCTCTCACTCTTTCACTAGTCACCCCCTCTCTCACTCTGTCACCAGTCATTCCTTCACTCTGTCACCAGTCATCCCTTCCTTCCCTCACTCTGCCACTAGTCATCCCTTCCCTCACTCTGTCACCAGGCATCCCCTCACTCTGTCACCAGTCACCCCTTCCTTCCTTCACAGTGACAGAGTTAGGGATGGGGTGACTAGTGACAGAGAGAGGGATGGGGTGACTAGTGACAGAGAGAGGGATGGGCTGACTAGTGACAGAGTGAGGAAGGGGGTGACTAGGGACAGAGGGGGTGACTAGTGACAGAGTGAGGGGGTGACTAGTGACAGTCACCCCTTCCCTCTCTCTGTCACTAGTCACTCCCTCCCTCTGTCACTAGTCACTCCCTCCCTCTGTCACTAGTCACTCCCTCCCTCTGTCACCAGTCACTCCCTCCCTCTGTCACCAGTCACCTCTTCCCTCCCTCACTTTGCCACTAGTCATCTCTTCCCTCCCTCCCCCACTCTGCCACTAGTCACCCATTCCCTAACTCTGACACTAGTCACCCCCTCTCCCTCCCTCTGTCACCAGTCACCCCCACTCACTGTGTCTCCCCCTCACTCTGCCCCCACTCAACCCCTCCTTCCCTCACTCTGCCACCAGGTACCCCCTCACTCTGCCACCTGTCACAACCTCCCACACTCTTCCACCTGTCACCTTCTCCCTCATACACTCTGTCACCTGTCACATATGCATTCACACAGACACTATATACAAAAAAGCACATGTAGTCATCCAGACATGCAAAAGTGCATTCACACAGACTCAAATACAAACATGCATTGATACACAGGTCTTCACAATATACACATCCAAAGGAATGCCGTATTATGAGTTATATTTAACATTTATTTAATGCACGTATATTTGGCCTTCAAAGGGCCTGGGATCTAATTTTGTCCGGGGGCCCCAAAGGCTCTCAGTCCGCCCCTGCCCCCAATTGCAAGGTTGGACTAAAGGTAGAACCCCATCTGTCGTGCAACTCCAACAATGCTTTGACAGCTGGGACTCTACCAATTTCCCATGCTTGCAGGGTTGTATTTAGCACTGAGCCATGTTAGTATGTTTGAATGTAAGCATGTGTTTGTATGGAGTATGTTTGTGTGAATGTGTTTGTATGTGGTACTGGAGTTTAAATGCAAGTGTGCATTTATGTGTAGTGTTTGTTTTTGAATGTAGGAGTGTGCTTGTATGTAGTGTTGACGTTTCAATGCAGGAGTGTGTTTTATATGAAGTGTTGAAGTTTGAATGGAGGGGTGTATTTGTATTTAAAGTTGCGGCTCAGATGCACAGGTACACACACTGACGCACAAGCAGATACACAGATACATACACTGACTACATACAGATAAACAGGCACATACACTGACAGACACACTGACACAGGTACATATATTGACACACACACAGACACATACACTGGTAGACGTGCTGACAGACATACTGACACAGGCACATATACAGACATACTGACACACAGACACATATACCGACATACTGACATACACACACATACACTGATCAACATACTGACACACATACACTGACAGAAATACTGACACCCACACACTGACAGATATACTGACACCCACATACACTGAGAAATACTGACACACACACACAGGCACATACACTGACACACAGACTGATATACTGACACACACACACACAGACATGCCTGGCACACAGACAGATATACTGACACATGCACACATGTACTAACAACAGACATACTGGACACTGACAGACACATACTGACACACACAGATATACATACATATATACTGACACACAGACAGACATACTGACACACACACATTGCAGACATACTGACACACACACACTAACACACACACACTAACACACATATACTAACACACAAACACTAACACACATAAACACACACATACATACACTAACACACACACTAACACACAAACACATACACTAACACACACATAAACAAACACACACATACACACACAAACACATACACTAACACACACATACACACAAACACACATTTTTTTTTTTTTAAATGTAATCCCCCCAGCCTCCTTACCTTTTGGAGTGCTGGGGGGATTCCCTGGGGTCCAGTGGTGCTGCTGGGCTCCTGGGTGGGTGGCCGGTCGAGCAGGAAGGCGGGCGCGCGAGGGAGCACTCACTGCTTCCTCTTCAGCTCCCTCGCGCGCCGCGTAGGGATGCCGGCGCCGGAAGATGACATCATCTTCCGGCTCCGGCATCAGTGCGGTGCGCTAGGGAGCTGAAGAGGAAGCAGTGAGTGCTCCCTCGCGCGCCCGCCTTCCTGCCCGACCGGCCACCCACCCGCCGGGGTCAGCGGGGCCCACGGGGCAGGTGCCTCGGGCCCCCCAAGAGAAACTGGGCCCGGGGCAGCTGCCCCGTTTGCCCCGCGTTAAAGACGGCCCTGGGGCCAGTGTTTGTTAGTTTGTCTGTGTGTGAGTATTGAGTGTATGTATAGGTCAGAGTGTGTGTTTGTGGATATGTGAGTCAGTGATTGTGTTGCTCAGTTATTTTGTCAGAATGACAGTGTGTGTGTCAGTTATTGTGTCAGAATGACAGTGTGTTAGTCAGTGATTGTGTCAGAATGACAGTGTGTGGGTCAGTGATTGTGTGAGGCAGTGATTGTGTCAGAATGACAATGTGTGAGTCAGTGAGTGTGTCAGAATGACAATGTGTGAGTCAGTGAGTGTGTCAGAATGACAGTGTGTGGGTCAGTGATTGTGTCAGAATGACGGTGTGTGGGTCAGTGAGTGTGTCAGAATGACAATGTGTGAGTCTGTGATTGTGTGAGTCAGTGAGTGTGTCAGAATGACAATGTGTGAGTCAGTGATTGTGTGAGTCAGTGATTGTGTCCGAATGACAGTGTGTGGGTCAGTGATTGTGTCAGAATGACAGTGTGTGGGTCAGTGATTGTGTGAGTCAGTGAGTGTGTCAGAATGACAATGTGTGAGTCAGTGATTGTGTCAGAATGACAGTGTGTGGGTCAGTGAGTGTGTCAGAATGACAGTGTGTGAGTCAGTGATTGTGTGAGTCAGTGAGTGTGTCAGAATGACAATGTGTGAGTCAGGGATTGTGTCAGAATGACAGTGTGTGAGTCAGTGATTGTGTCAGAATGACAGTGTGTGGGTCAGTGAGTGTGTCAGAATGACAGTGTGTGGGTCAGTGAGTATGTCAGAATGACAGTGTGTGAGTCAGTGATTGTATGGGTCAGTGCTTGTGTCAGAATGACAGTGTGTGGGTCAGTGAGTGTGTCAGAATGACAGTGTGTGAGTCAGTGATTGTGTCAGAATGACAGTGTGTGAGTCAGTGATTGTGCCAGAATGACAGTATGTGAGTCAGTGATTGTGTCAGAATGACAGTGTGTGGGTCAGTGAGTGTGTCAGAATGACAGTGTGTGGGTCAGTGAGTGTGCCAGAATAACACTATGTGAGTCAGTGATTGTGCCAGAATGACAGTGTGTGGGTCAGTGATTGTGTCAGAATGACAGTGTGTGGGTCAGTGAGTGTGTCAGAATGACAGTGTGTGGGTCAGTGAGTGTGCCAGAATAACACTATGTGAGTCAGTGATTGTGCCAGAATGACAGTGTGTGGGTCAGTGATTGTGTCAGAATGACAGTGTGTGGGTCAGTGAGTGTGTCAGAATGACAGTGTGTGGGTCAGTGAGTGTGCCAGAATAACACTATGTGAGTCAGTGATTGTGCCAGAATGACAGTGTGTGGGTCAGTGATTGTGTCAGAATGACAGTGTGTGGGTCAGTGATTGTGCCAGAATGACAGTGTGTGAGTCAGTGATTGTGTGGGCCAGTGAATGTGTCCGAATGACAATGTGTGGGTCAGTGATTGTGTCAGAATGACAGTGTGTGAGTCAGTTATTGTGTCATAATGACAGTGTGTGAGTCAGTGATTGTGCCAGAATGACAGTATGTTAGTCAGTGATTGTATGAGGCAGTGATTGTGTAAGATTGATGGTGTATGGGTGAGTGGTTGTGGGAGTCAAGGTGCATTTTTTTTACAAGCATTGTTTATATATGCATAATACACTCAAATTTTAGTGAACAAACATCTGAATCACAGCCTTCTACACACACTACATACAGACAGCACACACACATTACATACAGGCAGCACACAACACACACAGCCAGCACACACACTGTGACAAAGACTACACTGAGGGTAATTCACAAAATTTGGCATTTTTGCTAAGAAAATCCAAATTGTAAAATTAAAAAAGTTATAGAATATTTATAGATCAACTATTTTCGCCTTTTTTGTCCATTCAGATTTAATTTGTGAAAATGACTTTAGTAAATTGCCCAATCAGTGTCCATGGCTCTAGGCAAGGGCCCCACAATTTTTGTAATTTATATTAGTTTGTTGTCAAGTAGGTTGTCATGACAGTCCAGTATATTGGTCTACTACTTTAGTCCACACCCCTGTATATCAGAAAGTAGACAAAAACAAAGAGTGGAATAGCGCTAAATCAGAGGAAGGGGAAGCAGCACAGCTAAATGGGTAAGTCTCTCCTAAAAACCCAATAAGGGCAAACAACAATACAAGACAGTAGGGTGCGCCAAGGGGTTAGGGGTGAATTAATACTCAATAATACAACTGAAGTAAAACAGATAATATGTGCTTAATAATATGATATAAAATCATAAATGCATAAAAGCGAACAAGTCAAAAAGTCCAAAATGAAGTATAAAGGTATAGGTAAGTCTATAAGAGTTTGCCTTCATCTCCAGGTGAGTATGTCTTCCAGATAGTTGTGGTCCAGGGACATAAAAGAGAAGAATTCCGATAGTGCAATATGTTTAAAATATATTAAAAGCTTAGGTAAAAGAAAATCCAAATTAGTCTACTCACATGGGGTAGAGCTTAAAACCAGCTCTAGTGTGAAGCGCTTGCAGTGAAGCGCTTGCACCATATCCCCCACTTCAGGGATATGGTGGAAGATATCAGGGATATGGTGGAAAAATACAAAAAAAGGTACTGGGACACACGAGTACTGTTTTTGTGTCCCAGTAACTTTTTTTGTATTCTTACATATCCTGCTGACAAGATACGCACTGGCTTATACCTTCCATCATATCCCTGAAGTGGAGGAAACTCTTATAGACTTACCTATACCTTTATACTTCATTTTGGACTTTTTGACTTGTTCGCTTTTATGCAAATATGATTTTATATCATTTTATTGAGCACGTATTATCTGTTTTACTTCAGTTGTATTATTGAGTATTAATTCACCCCTATCCCCTTGGCACACCCTACTGTCTTGTATTGTTGTACACCTCTGTATATGCAGTCACACACAAATGCATTCACACTGACTATAGAAAAAGCACATGTAGTCATCCAGGCATGCACAAGTCCATTCACGCAGACTCAAATACAAGCATGCATTGATACACAGGTCTTCACACTGTACACATCC